GCCAATACCATGCTGTCTTTGTTACTATGACTCTGTAGTATATTTTAAGTTCTGGTGTTTTGATGCCTCCTGATTCACTTTTCTTGCTAAGGATTGTTTTGGCTACTCTGGGCCTCTTATTTTTCCCAAATGAATTTCATGATTGTTTTTCTACTTCTATGAAGAATGTCATTAGGATTTTAATAGGAATTGCATTAAGTCTGTATAACTCTTTTGGTAGTATGGCCATTTTGACAATATTAATTCTGTCTATCCAGGAGCATTGGAGATCTTTCCATCTTCTAAGATCTTCTTCAGTGTCTTTCTTTAGTGTTCTGTAGTTTACATTATAGAGGTCTTTCACCATTTTTGTTAGATTGATTCCCAAGTGTTTTATTTTATTTTTTTTTGAAGCTATTGTGAATGGAAGAGTCTCCTTAATTTCTCTTTCAGTGGATTCATCAGTGACATACGTATAGGAACACATTTGATATATGGGTATTAATTTTATATCCTGCTACTTTGCTGGATTCATCTATTAGTTCTAGAAGTTTTCTGTGGAATTTTTTGGATCCTGTTAATATAGATTCATTTTGTGGGAAATTCTTCTTTTTGTATTCATATTCTTTTAATTTTTTCTTCTGATTGCTCTGGCTAGAAGTTTAAGGATGATGTTGAATAAAAGTGGTGAAAGGGGGTTTCCCTGTCTTGTTCCAGTTCTTAAAGGGAATACTTTCACTTAGAATGATTTTGGCTTTGGGTTTAGCATAGATAGCTTTTACAATGTAGAGATGTGTTCCTACTATCCCTTGGTTTTCTACTGTTTGGAATATGAAGGGGTGTTATATTTTGTTAAATGCTTTTTCTGCATTTATTGAGATGTGTTATTCCTACTGTTTGAGTCCTAGGTAGGTGAGCCAAGAGAAATGCTGCCTCACACTAATTCACCATCTTTGAGCCAATAATTTTGTTTTTAACTTCAGAATGTATGACAAAATTTTTAAAAAGTCATAGTAAGGACTATCTAGTTTTTGAATGGTTGTATAAAATAGATATCAGTGTATTAAAATTTTAAAATGTTTTGTTCGGTTAATATGTTTAAAAGGCAAGTAATTCAGTAGAATGGAAAAGCATATAATAAAAACCATCTTCTCCCCTTTACCCTCAGTCCCACATTCTAGTTGTAATTTCTCTGTTATTTCTGATAGTGTTTTATTTTTCCAGTGATAATCTTTAGAACACTTAATAATGCCTATTCTATCACTCTATCTCCTGATATATTAAGTAAAATAATGCCACTGACTACCATGTATGAAAAATGAAATGTGTCTCTATCTTGTTGGTTACCATGACTCTCAGCTTTTTTCTTGATTAATTTAGAAAATCGTCAATAATATATTCAAACTTCATTTTTCTTCCAGCAGTATTGCTCATTAACTTAAATCTTCTGTATGTAATTTGATGACAGCTGTCCCATGCCATTTTTCTCCATAGTTTAACACCTCCAATAATGTCATCATCTTATTTTTCATTACCTTCATTATGCAAAAACTACATAACACAAAATTTACCATCTTCACCATTTTTATGTGTTTAGTCCAGTGACATTGGACACATTCATACTATTGTGCCACAGTCAGCACTAGGGAGCTCTAAAACTTTTTTTTTTCATTTTGTACAACTGAAAATGTGTACCCACTAACTAATAAATGCTTGCTATGGTTTGAATATCATTTTAGCATGTTCCTCCAAAGACATATGTGCCTGAAACTTGGTTCCCAGTGTGGTGGCATTGAAATGGTAGAACTTTTAAGAGGTGGGGCCTAAGTGTAAAATAATTACACCATTGGGGGCCCACCTTTGTAAGGTATAAATGTTTATATCATGAAGTGAGTTGATTCTGGCAAGTCTTTTGGTTGTTATAAAGTAAGAATATGCCAAGTACTTGGTTCCCTTTCAGTTTCTCTTTCATGTTGTGATATAGCCATGGGGTCCTTGCAAGGATACTTTTTGGACCCTCCAGACATCAGAATCATGAGCCAAATAAACCTCTTTATTTTTAAAAGTACCCAAGCTCAGGTATTCAGTTATAGCAACATAGAAAGGACTAATACGTTCCCCACTTCTTCCTCTTCCTAGCCCCTGGCAACAAACATTCTACTATCTGTTTATCTCTGTGAATTTGACTATTTTAGGTATCTCATAAATGTGGAATCATACAGTTTTGTTTTGTTTTTGTGGATTGCTTATTTTCCCTCACATAATATCTGCAAAGTTCATCTGTAGCATATGTCAGAATTTCCTTCCATTTTTAAGGCTAAATAGTATGCATACACACACACATATTCATATCCACACACATACATATACATACACACACATTTCACATTTTGCTTATCCATTCATCAGTTAATAGATACTCAGATTGCTTCCATGTTTTAGCTATTGTAAATAATTCTGCCTATGAAATGGGTATGCAGATATCTGTTTGAGACTCTACCTTCTATACTTTGGGGTATACACCCAGAAGTGGGATTGCTACATTGCATGGTGATTCAATTTTAAATTTTTCAGAAACCACCATACTGTTTTTCACAGTGGCTACATAATTTTACACCCCTACCAACAGTGCATAGTGGCTGTAATTATACCACATCCTTGAACACCAATTGTTATTTTCTGTTCTTAGGGGGTTTCATGTTTTATAGTAGCCAACTTACTGTGTGAGGTGATGTCTGCATAGAGTCCAGAGGATACAGACTTCTCATCACAGTTTTAGGCACCATCTCTTTCTATCCTACTGCTGGAGGTAAGTCACAGCTGGTTCTCTTTCCTCAGTGAAGTGCAGATATTTTATGAGCCATAAGCTAAAAAATCCAATCCACTTTTCCCACTTTATTTTCACACACTCACCATGTTAATTGAAATCTTGTTGTCAATTGAGGAATACCAAAAGGCACTGTTAATTTGTTTTCATTTTTATTGAAATAAAAATGTTTAAATACATGTACAAAAGTGCTTCTTAAAGTTGATAAAGGAAGGCTGGGCTGCCTGTGGTTTCCTGCAGAAGAAATAAAGGAGAGAAGGTCAAGAGGTTGCAGCCTTTGTTCCACTTGTTACCATGACTCTTCCATTCTCTCCCATGTGCTTGCTGATACCCTTGATATCCACTTATGTCCTGTGTACTCTAGTCAGGAAATGGCACTTAAAATGAACTTTGCAAAACCTAAGTTATAGTATATCACTTCTCTGTTCAAAAGTACTTGAAGGGTTTTCGTTCTCACTCAGGACAAAACATAATTAATATTTGCTATGGGATCACCAAAGCCTTTGGCTCAGGCTCATCCCCATTTCTCTGAATCTGTCTCTGCCATTTTTTCCACTCTCATTCTTCTCTGGCTACACTGGTTTCTTGCAGCTCTTTAAACATAGCAAGTACATCTCTGCACCAGGGCATTTTTACTTGCTTTTGTCCTGGGGTGGGACACTTTTCCTGGATAAGAATCACAAGGTTTATTTCCCCTCTCTGTCCATTCTTTGTTCTGATTTCATCATTTCAAATAATGCTTTCCTGAATAACCTATCATTAGCAGTACAACCTCTACCTCTTGGTGTCCCCCTTTGCTTTTTTAATTTTCTACTTTACTCTTATCTCTCTGTGACTTATGATAAATTTGTGTGTTTATGAATTCAGATCCTGATTCTACTTATTAGACTATGAGATCTTTGAGGGTAAAGCTTCCATTTACTTTGTTCCCTGGTATGTTTCATGCATCTGTAACAGAACCTGATAGTGCTGACAAATATTAGTCAAAAAATAATTCAGTTCTCAAATGTGGTCCTATTGGATGAATTAGATAATAAAGCCTGTCCTGAAATATCTATGCAATTTTATGACTAAAGTGTCAGAAAGCAGAAATAAAAGATGAATTCAGTACATATTTTCAGTGTTGAAATAAATTTTAAAATAATGTGAAATTTAAAGTATGTTTTTCAGAGGGATCAATCATATGATAGGGTGTGATGATATAATGCTGTTGTGAGTAAATAAAGTAATCATTGGGTCTAAATTAATTTATCCACTTATCCACTCTAAAATATTTTAATCAAAAAATGTTTGAGGGTTAACATGAAAGCTTGAAGGAATTACTGAGAAGTAATTGAGGATCTGAGATATACTGTGAGTGATTTGTCATCTACAGTGTGAGAACAGCACAAGAACCAGAGCACACAGGGTACAAGTCAAGGATATATGTTGTTGTTTTCCAGAAATGAGGAATAGACCCAAGAGTGCTTTACCATTGAGAAACACCCATCCACAGTGGGTTTTTTTTAATTAAATATTTTTGAGACAGGGTCTTGCTAAATTGCTAGGCTGATATCAAACTTATAATCCTCCTGCTTTAGCCTCCTGAGTTATTGGAATTACATTTCCAGGATGTATTTTATATTGTTTGGTAAAGTAGCTCAATGCCACCAATGTGATACTTTTGGTCCACTCTGTGGACCAAAGAGCTGTTTCTTTCATATTCAGCTCCCTCCTTTGTTTTCTGTTTATTTTCAAGGTCTGATATCACATTTGGCAACACTGTGTGTGTGTGTGTGTGTGTGTGTGTGTGTGAATGCATGTATGTATATGTGTGTGCATGTGCATTTTGTGTATGAGACAGCTCAAGAGAGAGAAAGGGAATTGGGAGGGCTAATGAGAGAGAAATGAATATGTAACAATTTAAGCATAAGTACATTTGTATTTTAATAATTGCTATCCAGGATCTTTCATTGTTTATCATTTTTTGCCTTGGTTTTGCCTCCTTGATTGATTGATTGCTGTGTTGGTTGTGGAGGTAAAGGGGATTCAGATGCATACAAGGAGAATAAAAACTAGCAAATTATTACCAACTATGTCAACAAAGAATCCTATGTTGATCATTGAAGCAATCAGGTGCAATTGGTCACTAAACCTCACCACCAATATGACCCTCCTACCTATTTCACTTCCTAACACCCATGCAGGACTTACAATAGCCAGGAAAGAGGTAGAAAGGTTTTGTCAAGGTTACTCTCTCAACAGTGGGCATCTGGGCTCGAACACCTGGTTCCTCAAATGAACTTCTTACCTAAAACCAAAAACAGCTCTAGATGAGATAAGCCTTATAAATTCACAGAAAATATTTTGCACCATAAACCAGAAAATTCCAGGAGTGGAAAGGACACTCCTGGGGCTGATGAGACCAAACCCATGGATATTCTATCTTGCTGATACTTCTAATCTTCCTCTCAGAATTGAGAACCAATCTAGGACTGTAATCTTTACTTAAAAAATAACAACTGCCTCATCCAAGCCCTTTCTATATCCATTTCCTCTCCTTTCTATTTGTGAATTATAAACCTCACCGTTAATTATTCCTGGAGGTCTGTTAATGAGGATTGGATTTAGAAGAGTCCCTGTTTTTAACCCTCACACAGGATGACTCCTCAATTTGAGGAGAATTGATTCACAGGATTGTCTTCAAGACTTGAATACAGAACAGCTTTCACTTCCACCTCTGCAACAAGCTGACCTCTGAAATCTTGTCTGGAACTGATCAGTGAGATCTTCCTTACCCTAAACACACTATTTTTGGTCTTTTTTCTAGGAGCATCCTGAAAATACTATCTCTAATTTTTATTCATCCAACAGGTCTTAACTTTCTAGGTTCCTATTTGCAGAAACCCTGACTTGTTACAATAGAATATTCTCCAATATTCTCATAAGTACATCTCTTTTCCCAGGGAAGTATTACTGTCCTCTACAGTATTAAATTTTAAAACAACCACAGTTTCCTGTGTTATTTAATTAATTTATTTATTTTTAGTTGTTGTTGGACCTTTATTTTATTTATTTATATGTGGTACTGAGAATCTAACTCAGTGCCTCACACATGCTAGACAACCGCTTTACCGGTAAGCCACAACTCCAGTCTCTCCTATGTTCTTAATACCAGTCCCTCCTCTGTAAAAAAAATGAGCATTCATTCATTCATTCATTCATCTATTTATTCAATTAATATTAATTGAAGATCTGTTTGGTGCATGTTGAAATGTTCAGCAAATTCTTGCCTTCATTAAGCTTTCATGTGAGTGAGAAAATACACATTAAAAAAGCCAAAACACGTAAATAAAATATATACTGAGTGGATGGCGGTAAGCACTATAAGGAAAAATAATTTAGGAACAAGGGTGAATAAGGAATGTCCCAAATCAAGGAAGAAGTATTAAGTCTCCCTTTCCTGATCATTCCATTTAAAGAATGCATTTATTCTCTTCCACATGTTTAGGTCTTTCTCTTTATGGATATCATCGTAATCTGTAATCACATACTTCTTTCTTGACCTACTTTTCTTAATACCCATATGTCTGACAGCAATTTAAGTCCTGTGTGGTCTTAAGCTCACAATAGGTTTCATTTACCCCAACATCAACAGGAGAGAACCCATCCCCTTGTAGACCACCCAGTATGCATTTATAATAAATTAAGCAATGAAAGTTAATGTCAAATACTTTTCATTCTCTGAATTCTAAGAACTCATAGCTTTCTATCCCATAATATAAAGCTTAGATTTTATGTCATTTTGTTGTACTTTGATCTCCCACTGTGGCACACTAGCTCCCTTTTCTAAACCTGATTTTAAATACCTGAATGACAGAAAACAGGTACTTTTTCTTGCTTGATACAGTACGTCACTGACATGTGAAAGTTGAATAACGATATTGTTCTTTATGAATAAATAAATGGCTGAATTGAAAAGGAAAGAGAAGCTTACCCTCAGAAATAGTTCCTCGAGGTGATTGCAGCAGGAATATTTCTGGAAGCATTTGATAAGTTCTATGATGAAGGGAGAGCCCCCAGTTTTGTATCTCCAGGAAATGTTATCTGTGGAGATTTAGGTGTTATGGTGTCATGCCTTGGTCTGAGGGCTTTCGCTATTTGCTCTGTTCAATTTTTTTTGTGTGTTTTAGATTTTTTTTTTCTTTTTTAAAACATAGCTTAGGAATTACCTGTTACAGGTTTAGGGGAAGACTTTATCATTCCCACATTAACATCACAGGAAATCCATAAACACAGAGAATATTAAAATGAATAGAGAAAAAAAGTTTTTGGAGGGGAGGTATATGTTTATGTCATAGATTGTGGTGATAAGTTCATACTATCTCCAAATTCATTAAGTTCTATACATTAAATCTGCACAGTGTTTTTGTATGTCGATTTTGCATCAGTGAAAATATTTTAGAAATAAGAATTGAGAGTTTGCAATTTAGGGAATGTGAATGTAAGGCTTCTAAAATGTTTATCTGCAGCCAAACTACTAACTGCTGTTACCTATTATTAGACTGAATGAGCCTCCCCATGACATTATCTACTCTTTTAAAAGGGTATCCACTTTCCTACTGGAGCATGTAACAGCATCATACATGGACAATCAAATTGGAAATATGGAGAAAATGACTTGGAGTTGATCACATGAGATGGGGAGACCAGTTCTGGGGCTCATAAAATCTCCATTAAAAATGTTAAATAGATTTAGTAGAAAATGATATCAGTCATATGTGCTTAAGTGGTGTGTAGTTAAGGGGATTCCTTGTATTGGGTTGCTTTAATATTTGGGCATATCTTTGATTGTAAGTGTAATATTGAAAATAAAAGAACATTTTTTAGTGTTGAGGCTAAGAATCTCTGACCCCCAGCACAGATAAGATTTATGTAAAATATATCAAAAGCCTTCAAAATGTCTCTCAGACTACTGCTGCACAGGGCCTATCTTGATTTCCTACAATCATTGAAAAGTAGCCTTAGGACCATAAATGTCTGTCTGTAACTGAAAGACATACGTGGGGTTGATGAATAGAAAGCAATGAAGTCCTTCTCCACATGGGTCTTGTAAACACCATCTTCATCCAGGTTCATCTGAGAGTATAAAGAGCTGTCTTCCAGGGCTGGAGAGTCTCCAACCCATGTTTCGCCTCTGTTTCCTGTAGAGACATCAACTATCTGCACCCTGTGCCCCCCTCAGTATGACTGTCACAATTGCCCACCTTGTTCTTCTGAATGTTCACCCAATTAGTTACACACACCACTGTCTCCAGAGAGAGAAGAGTGAGAGAAGGCATTATACCAACAAAGAATTAACATATCACAAAAAGAAAACAAACCATTTTTTTAAGAAGAATAAAGAAGGAGTTAAAGCCTTATCTGCATAGTTTCAGAGTACAGCTATCAGTTTTTAGTAAAATTATTTTTGCTTAAAAGAAAAAAAGAGCCAGGCATGGTGGCACACACTTTTAATTCCAGTGGCTCTGCAGGTGAGGCAGGAGGATCAGTAGTTCAAAGCCAGCTTCAGCAAAAGCGAGGTGTTAAGCAACTCAGTGAGGCCCTGTCTCTAAATAAAATACAAAATAGTGCTGGGGATGTGTCTCAATAGAACAATGCCCATAACTTCAATCTCCAGTACCCAGAAAAAAAAAAGCAACAGTAGCTCCCAATAGCCACCAGGAAACTAAAATTTAACTGCTATCCCTCATGTCCCCTAAAAAACCTACTTACTTCATCATCAATATTATATATAAACAGGGTGCTGCTGTTATATAATGGTTCCACTTTCTTTTTAAAAATTATTTTGATATATAATTATTAACATATTAACGGTACAAATTAATTGATTTCACTGAAACATTTCTACACATGTATATATTATGTCAATTTCCCTTCTACCCTCTTACCATTTCTTTTTATCTGCTCTACACCCAGATCCCTCCTTATTCCCTGATGATACCTCTTCTTTTTTTAGTTCTGTTTTCTTTTGTTCTCATTTATGAGATAAAACATGTGATACTTCTCTTTTTGTGTCTGTTTATTTTGCTTAACATCATGTACCCAAGATGGATCCTTTTCCTGCAAATGGCACAATTTTATTCTTCTTTATAGTTGAATAATATTCCTTTGTATGTGTGGATATATGTGTTTTTGTATACATATATGAAAGTGTGTATATATGCATGTTTTCTTCATCCATTCATCTATTGATAGGCACCTAGGCTGATTCCATATCTTAACTATTATGAATAATGCTGCAATAAACACAGGAAGCAGCATTCTCTCTTTTGTATGCTGACCTCATTACCTTGGGGTATAAGCAGAGGCTGGAATAGTTAGATCCTACAGTAGTTTTACTTTTAATTTTGGATAAATCTACATACTGTGAAAAACATCAAATTACCTGGAAAGAACAATTGAGAGGAGGAAAAATTGAATTTGGACTCATAACTTTAGAGGTTCACTTCACAGTCATCTGACTTCATTATTCTCAGGACTTCATCCTCCCAAGACCAGAACATCATGGCAGAAAGGCATAGCAGAGGAAAACTTTTCAGCTCATGGCAGCCAGAAAGCAGAGAGGGGAAGATAGGAGGGGACCAGGGAGCAGGTAAACACTTTCAGGGTGTCCTCCAATGACCTACTTCTTCTAACTAGGTCCCACCTCCCTGTAGTCCATTCAGCTATCAGTGGATGAATCTAGCACATGGACTAATCCTCTAATGAGATCAGAGCCCTAATCATTGCTTAAAATCCCTATCTCTGAACCTTACTGTATTGGGGCCACGCTTCTAATGCATGAGCTTTGAGGGCCATTCTAGTTCTAAATCATAACAGGCTCTTTTTTCTCTCCATCCTTTCCACCATTTGTTATCTTTTGCTTTGTTGGTAATAACCATTCCACTGGAATGAGATGGAATATCAATGTAGTTTTAATTTGCATTTCTGTTATAGAAAAAGTTGTTGAACTTTTTTATAGGCTTTTTGTTCATTTGTACTTTTTTAGAAAAGTATCTGTTCAGATCATTGGCCCATTAATTGGCTGAATTATTTGTTCTTTTGTTGTTACTTTTTTAAAGTTCGTTATATATTCTGGATATATATTCATCCTTTTTCAAAAGAGTGGTTGGCAAAGATTTTCTCCCATTCTATAAGCTGACTCTTCACTCTGTTGTTTCCTTTGCTATGCAGAAAGCTTTTTAATTTGCTGCTATCCATTAGTCAATTCTTGCTTTTGTCAGAAAATTATTGACTCTGACATTATCTTGTAGTATATCTACCATATTTTCCTCTCATAGTCCATGTCTTACATTAAAATCTTCCATTCATTTTGAGCTAATGTTTTGCAGGGTAAAGACAAGCATCTAGTTTCATACTTCTGTGTGTGGATATGAAATTTTCCTGGCTCCATTTGTTGAAGAAACTATCTTTTTTCCAAAGTATGTTGTTGGCACCCTTGTTGAAAATCAGATGGTAGTAGATGAGTGGATTCATTTCTGGGTCTTTGATTTTATTTCATCCTTCTATATGTCTGTTTTAATGCCAATATCATGCTGTTTTTGTGGCTTTGTAGTATAATTTGAAATCAGGTATTGTGATTCTTCCAGCATTGCTTTTATTTATTTAATATTTTGCTTGTTTATTTATTTATTTACTTTTTGCTCAGGATTCCTTTCCCTATCTGGAATATTTCATACTTCATAAGAATTTTAGGATTGTTTGTTTTTAGTTCTGTGAACAATATCATTAGTATTTTAATTTTGTTTTGTTTTTATTGATTTGTTTGTTCAGTACTGGGGACTGAACCCAAGGACACTTTACCACTGAACTATATCCCCAGCCCTTTTTATTTTTTTTATTTTAAGGGTCTGGCTAAGTTGCTTAGGTCCTCACTAAGTTGCTGAGACTGGCCTTGAATTTACAATTCTCCAACTTCAGGATCCTAAGTCACCGAAATCATAGATATTTTGCCACCATGTCCAGCACTAGCAACAGTGTTTTGGTGGAGGTTTCTTTGAATCTATAGATTATTCAGGGTAATATTGCCATTTTAACATATTATTAATCCTCCACATTCTTGAGTGTGAGAGGATTTTTCAACCTTCTAGTGTCTTCTTCAGTTACTTTTTCAGTGTTTTATTATTTTTCATTCTAGAGGCCTTTTACCTCCTTGGCTAGGTTTATTTGTAGATATTTTATTTCTTTTGAGGCCATTGTGAATGCAATTGTTTTCCTGATTTCTTTCTCAGCAAGTTCTTATTGTTGTATAAGAGGACCGATTTTTGTATGTTGATTTTGTATTCTTCTACCTTACTGAATTTGTTTATCAGTATTTGTGAAGACTTGAAGGTTTTCTATCTGCAAATTGAGAAAATTTGACTTCTTCCTTTCAAACTTTCAACCCTGTTGTTTCTTTCTTTTGCCTAATTTCTCTGGCTATAATTTATAGTACCATATTGAATAAGAGTGGTAAGCATGGATATCCTCTTCTTGTTCCTAATCTTAAAGGAAATACTTTCAGGTTTTCTCAATTCTGTATGGTGTTGACTATGGGTCTGTCATATAGCATTCATTATGTTGAGATATACTTTTTCTGTATTTAATTTATTCAGGAATTTTTATCAGGAAGGCAGATTGAATTTTATCAAAGGCTTTTACTGCATCAATTGAGATGATTATGTGATTTCATACTGGATTTGATTTATGTGCTTTATTATAGTTATTTATTTGGATATTTTGAACCATACTTGCATCTCTGGAATAAATTAACTTGATCATTGTACATGATCTTTTAAATGTGCTGTTCAATTTGCATTATTTTATTGAGGACTTTTGCATTTATGCTTATCAGGGATATTCATCTGTATTTTTATTTGTTGTTGTGTCTTTATCAGGTTTTATTAGCAGGATAATATTGGCTTCATAAAATGAGTTTGAAAGGGTTTCTTCCCTTTATATTTTATGAAATATTTTGAAAATCATTGGTGTCAATTCTTTTTAAAATCTGGTAGAACTGAGCAATGAATCCATCTAGTCCTAGGCCTTTCTTTGTTGGAAGTCTTTTTATTATTGCTTTAATCTCACTACTCATAATGATCCATTTAGGTTTTTATACACATTTGATTTTGTTTTATCAAGTCATATGTGACTAGAAATGGCCCATTTCTTCTAGATTATCTAATTTATTGGGTTATGTTTTAAAAATGTTCTCTAATTATCCTTTATATTTTAGTGATATTTTTGTCTCCTTTTTCATGTTTAGCTTCATTTAGTTCAATCTTGTCTTTTGGGGGGGCAGAGGTCAGTTTAGCTAAAATTTTGTTTTATCTTTTCAAAGAAACAATTCATTTTTTTTGTTGCTGTTGATACTTTGTACTATCTTTTTAGTCTTCATTTTTTTCTCCTCTGATCTTTATCATTTGTTTCCTTCTATTAAATTTGGTTTGATTTCTTGATATTTTAAGCCCTTGAGATGTATGACTGTGTTATTTATTTAAAATGTTTCTGTTTGTTTCTTGATGTAGGCACTCGCTGCCATAAACATTCCCCTTAGTACTGCTTCTGTGATGTCATACAGGTTCTGGCATGTGGTGTGTCCATTTTCACTTGGTTTTTATATTTTTACATTTCCCGTCCCTGATTTCTTCAATAACTTACTCACTGTTCATTCAAAACCTCCATGTGCATAATATCTTTAGTTTTTCTTGCTGTTAATTTCTAGTTTCATTTCTCTGTGATAAGATATAAGAAATTATTTTAGTTTTTTTTTAATCTGTAAGGACTTGTTTATGACCTAATAAGTGTTATATTTTGGAATAAAGTTCCATGTGCTCCTGAAAAGAATGTGTTCTTCAAATGTTGGATGAAATATTATATAGATAATTGTCAAGTCCATTTGATCTATAATGTTTCCCTGTTTTTTCTTTTTGGTGGAGGTAGTGTGTGTCTGAAAGAGCTATGTATTGGTGAGAGTGGGTCAGTGAAGTCACTCACTATTATTATATTAGAGAATTTCCTTACTTTCAAATGCATTTCATTAAAATGATTCTGTTCCAGAGTTTTAATATTTATGCTTAACAGACTTAGAAATTCTGGAATTCTCTTTCATCACTTACACTGATTTAAAATTATATAAAAATGTCTTCACTGAATTAGAGCAAATTATAGTCCATGCTTTTATAATTATGTCAATATGAATCCTAATGTTATGTATAACTAAAAAAATAACAAAGGGAAAAAAGTGAACAAAATGTCTTAACTGACAAGAAAAATTCTCATAATACCACTGTAAATGGGATTTTCTAATAATTAAATTTAGTTTATGTGCAGTAGATAAGGCCTATGATTATTTCTGTAGACATAAAACATCCATCATAGTGTCCTGCACACCTTCAAAATTATTTTATCTTCCATCTCAGAACTCACCACCTCTGCAGGCCTGCACAATGATGACCTTGGGTTTGTCTTTAAGCGCGACACAGTTGCAGTTGTTGAATATCTGGAAGATGCTGTCATAAGGTAGCACATCTTCATTTTCCTTACTATGCATAGTTCCACAGATTCCATGAAGGGTGCCATGAGACATAAGCACCAAGAACATGCTGTCTGAGGATTTGTGCTCTGGTAAGTCAGCAAATTTCTTCAGCTCTAACTTCATATCCTGTGAAAAGGCCAATTTCATACTTTAATAAGAGATATTAAAGTCAATCTGACTTCCTAGATTCACTACAAGCATTCAAGGAAACACACATAATTTTTATCATGGTATCTTTACATAGTGGTTACTCAATAATGATAATTGTTTTATTTTTCTTTCCCAATAGGACAGTAGGTTCAAACTTTCTGATCTTGATGACATATTATAAACTGTCTTCTTAATGTATTATATATTCATGAATGCTACTCACAATATTTCTTCCTTTCTCCCTCTATCTTTTCTCTCCTTAACTAACTGGAGTCTTATGTTTTAAATGCATCATACCACTTTCCTTCTTAACTCCTTCCTATACGCTTAAACTAAAATAGAAAGCTTCTGGCCTGATTGTATTCCACTCTCCAGCTATACTCCTGCCCTTGCTTGTCTTGCTGGTCTCTTTCCCATACTATATTTATTCTCAGCTTAGCCCTTTCAATTTCTAATTAATTATTGGGGTCAGGACCCATGCCAATCATTTTTTTGTCTAGATGCATGTAATTAAGGATATTTGAAGTTGAAAAGAGACATAGAGATCCTGGGAAATAGTAGACTAGAGGGATCCATCTGTATGGTAGCTATTCTTAGATTGAATAAGAACAACAGTTCTGGGTCTGCATATTGGGAAAGTACTTACAAGGGGCACTTTCATTTCAAATTGGTGGTCTGAACTCTGTGATAAGGAGCAAGTCCTAGAGGGATAGAACCGGGACTAATCAGGGTTGGGCAGAAAGGGTGACCTGCAGTGTCCTGCTACCAGCTCTACTACATCTCCTATGCCCACAAGGATCTGAAGAAACTGCTAAAGTAATCTGGAGACTTTTCACACACCTCTTCCCAGGACAGAAACAGAGGTTCTCAGAACAAGGGATGCAGCACAATCTGGATTGTTCCACAGACTCACTGGGCAAGAGGCCTTTCCAGTAGCACCTGCCAGAGTTGCAATCCCATCCCCAATTGGAAGAACATAGTCATACTGAAGTGAATCTGTTCACAACAGTTCACACTCCCTCCAATACTTTTTTCCGGGTAAGGAGGGGGTAAAGCTTAGAATACAGATGTTCTTACCAAGTTTGGCTAATATGAGAAAGAGCTGAGAACTAACAAATAGTATGAAAAGTGTGCAATGCAAACATTCTTATACCTGGATAATTCTAAACTTGAAACATTGGAAAGAAATTTCTCCTTTTTTAATACCTCAGTAAGAAGAAAACATGTTTTTTTATGATTGCAAAGTGATTTCTAGTGTTTTCCCTCATTATTATTTTCTTTTTCATAGTTGTATCTAATTTACTTATATTGTCAATAAATTATATTCTTTCTCGATAGACCTTTTCTTCTTTTCATTTCCATTCCCTTCTCTGCCACTCTTTTTCCGTCCTCATTTTAAATTCTGTCTCACTTACTTCCTCCACCATTTTTTCTTTCTTGTTTTTGTCCCTTCTTTGAATAAAATTTGATATTAAGTATACTACCATTAATATTTAACCTGTCAGTTTATTTTATATTATGTCTTACCTACTTCTTTCATTGCTTAATGGAGTTGTAGAGATTATTGGTAATTAGTTTTTTTAAACATATGTTGACATATGGTTTGCTATTATGCTATCACTGTTACTGTAAGTTACTCTTTTCTCTCAGAGCACTGGTGGTTGAACTTAGAACATTGATTATGCCAATTGGATGTTCTCAAGCCAAGATATACCCCTCAACTCAGAGTAGATTGTAAAGAGATAATGACTCACTAAAGAATTTCATAGCTACTAAACCAACATTGAAAAAGATGCTTAAAGAAATCCTATACATATAAGTAGATGTAATTAACAACCAAAAAAAGATCATGAAAGAATAAATCTTGTTAAAAGACTAGATAGGCAAATACTAATTAGGATTAAATTAGACATTAGAAGTAAATCAAGATGGTAGAGAATAATAAATGCCTTCCTATAATAGCACTGAATGTTAATAATTTCAACTCTTCATTTAAAAGACATAAATTTGAAGTTTTGATTTTTAAAAAAGAACAAACTATGTATTGCCTACAAGAAACGTAACTCACAAGCAAATACATTAATAGGTTAAAAGTGAAAGGATGAAAAATTATATTCTATGCATATGGAACCCAAAAGCAAACAGTACTTAATTTAATCTCTCATATCTGACAAAATAGACTTCAAGCCAAAATAAATCTGAAGAGACAAATGAAAGTCACTACAAACTTGTAAATGGAACAGTCCAACAAAAAGATATAATGATAATAAAAAGTTATGCCCCAAACTTTGAAGTACCTACTTACATAAACCAAACTCTGTTCAACATAAAGGTTCAGATAGATTCCAATAGAATAAAATTTGATAATTTCAATACATCTTTTACCAATAGAAAGATCATCAGTTATAAAATGAGCAAGAATTTAAAACATGATAAATCAAATAAAATTAACAGACATCTATAGAACATGTGATTCAACAATAGCTGAATTTACTTTCTTCTCAGATGCTATTTTGGAATTCTTTTCCAAAATAGTCCACAGTTTAAGCTATAAAACAAGATTTGGCAAATAAAACTGATTGATAACAATCCCCTGAATTTTAACAGATCATAATGGAATGATATTAGAAAGCAACACAAGCAAAAACTAAAGAAAGCATATAAATCCATGAAAATAGATTGAAACATTTTTATATGATGAATGTGTCATCAAGGAAGGCATAGAAAAAATTAAAACATTTTTAGAATCACATAAGAATATAAATAGTATATACCAAAACCTCTTTGACACTAGAAAGGCAGTTCTATGAATAGAGTCCATAATAATGAATGCCTATATTAAAAAATCAGAAAGGAATCAAATAACCTACTGATGCAGCTCAAGGTCTTAGAAAATAAGAACAATCAATTGCACAACCAACAACAAGAAGGAAATAAAAAAGATCAGAACCAAAATTGATGAAGTAGAAAACAAAAATACAAAGGTGTGGTTCTTTGAAAAGAAAATAATATTTGTAATCTCTTAATGTCATTGAAATCCAGAAAAGCGATAGGAACTACATCAAAAAAGTGTATTCCAATAAACAGAAAAATTATGAGGAAATGGATAACGTTCTAGACACATATGACCTATCAAAATTGACCCAAGAGGGGGAAAAAATAAATAGGCCAATAACAATCAATGTAAATGAAGGAGAACTAAGAAGTCTTCCAGAAAAGAAAAGTTCAGGACCAGATGTTTTCCCATCTAAATTCAACCAGATATTTAAAGAAAAATTAATGCCCATGTTCCTCAAATTATTTCATGAAATAGAAACTGGTGGAACACTCTGTATTAATTCTATGAAACAAGTATCACTCCAATACCCAAACCAGATACAAATATATCAAGGAAAGGAAGCTAGAGACCAATAACCTTGTTAAACATAGGCAGAAAGTCTGTAATAAAATATTGGTAAATCATATTCAGAACGCATTAAAAAGATTGCACATCATGACCAAGTTGGCTTCATTCCAAGGAAACAGGGTGGTTCAACATATGCAAATAAATAAATGTAATTCACCCTAAAATAGAATAGACACAGAGAAAACCTTCAAAAAATTCAGCATCCATTAATGACAAAAACATGTAGAAGCTAGGGATAAAAGGAACTTAAATAACATTATATGGGCTCTATACAACAAGCCCAAAGCTAACATTATAGTGAATTGGGGCCATCTAAAAGCATTTCCTCTAAAATCCGAAAAAGCCAAAGTTATTAATTCTCACCAGTCTTATTCAGTGCAGTAATTAAAATTCTAGCCAGGGAAATTAGGCAAGAAAATGAAATAAAAATGATACAAATAATAAAGGAAAAAGTCAAAATATCACAGTTTGCAGATTATACATTTCTATAATTAGAAGATCCTAAAAGTTTCACCAAAGTCTTCTAGAGCTGGTAAACAAATTCAGTAAACTAATAGGATACAAAATTAACATACAAAAACAAGAATTTTTCTATAATCCAAGAGTGAATTTGCTAAGAAAGAAATAAGAAAAATAATACCTATCATAATAATCTCAAAAAATACTAACAATGAATCTAAACAAAAATGAGAAAAACCTCTTTAGCATATATAGAAAAAAAATTGAAGAATACACTAGAAGATTGAAAGACATCCTGTGTTCATGAATGGACCGAATTAATATTGGTAAAATGGCTGTATTACCAAATTGCATTGAATTACCAGATTCAATGCAATTTCCATTAAAGTACCAATGAAACTTTTTACAGAACTAGAAACCTGCTCCTTAGATTCACATGGAAGAATAATAGACCTAGAATAGTCAACATGACACTGAGCAAAAGGAGCAACACTGGAATCATCATAATACCCAATTCCAAATTATATATTTCAAATTATAGATATGTAATAACAAAACAATACAGTACAGGAATAAAAGCAGAAATATATAACAATGGGATAGAATAGAAGACCAAGAGACAAACCCCAACTGATACAGTCATCTAATCCTTGACAAAGGCACGAAAAACATATGTTGGAGAAAAGATAGCCTCTTTAACAAGTGGTGCTGAGAAAACTGGATATCCACATGTAAAAGAATGAAAATAGATCCCTATCTTTCGCCCTGCACAAAAGGCAACTCAAAATGGATCAATAACTTGCAATTATTAGACCTGAAACATTGCTACTGCTAAAAGAAAACAGGGGCAACATTCCAACACATACATGCAGGCAACAATTTTCTCATCAAGATTCCTAAAGCTCAGAAAATAATTTTTTAAAAATAAAGAAAAATGGGATAGAATTAAGTTTAAAAATTTCGGTACAGCAACATGAACATTTAACAGCCTTAATAGAGAGCCCACAGATTGAGGGAAAATCTTTGCCATCCATTCTTCCAACATAGGATCTCTATTCACAATATATAAATAATTCATAAAATTTAAAACTAAAACAAAACATACAAATAACCCAATTGATCAATGGGCATGTGAACCAAACAGGCATTTATCAAAAGAAGAAATACAAATGGCCAAAAATATATGAAGAAAAATATGTCAAATATCTTTAGCAATCAAAGGAATAAAAATAAAAGATGCACTGAGATTTCATCTAACTCAAGTTAGAATGGCCATCATCAAGAATACAAATAACAATTAATGCTAGTAAGAATGTGGGGAAAAGGTAACTTTTACACATTGTTAGTAGGGATGAAAATCTGTATGAATGTTCTTCAAAAGATGAGAATGGAACCACCACAAGATATAGCTATACCACTCCTTGCTATTCACCCAAAATAATTAAAGTGAGCATAGTATATAAATATATTAATACTCATGTTTATATCAGCACAATTCAGAATAGTCAAATTATGGTACCAATCTAAATGTCCATCAATTGCAAAATGAATAAAGAAAATGAGATACATACACACAGCCATAAAGAAGAATGAAAATACATAATTCACATGAAAATGTATGGAACTAGAGAGCATTGTGTTGAGTGAAATAAAGCAGACTCAAAAATTCAAGGGTTTAATGTTTTATCTCATATGTAGAGAGAGAAAGAAAAGGAAGAAAAGGGATCTCATGGAAATAGAAAGAGACCAATAGGATAGAGGCCGAGGGGAGAGGAGGGCAAAGGGAGATGATGAGGAATGAAATTGAGCAAATTATGTGCATGCACAAATATGTCACAACAAATCTCATTTTTATGTATAATCATCATGCACCGATAAATTAAAAAAATAAATAAACAGACATAAATTTAATTCTTTCATTTTGGTCACACATACTATATAAAGTTATTAAAATTTTTGTCTATCATGGAGCTACTTTGTTAGTAGAAGGATATACATTAAATATGTATTAGTTTGGAGTTGGTGAGGGGCTCTTACCTCAGCTTTAAGATTCTTTTTCACCTTCACAGTGTAGTCCAGGCTTTCAAGCAGCCCCTTCATTTCTGTGATGTCACATTCAGCCCCACTCCTCACAGGAATATACTCAAACTCTATATTGCATATAATGAGCGCCTGACGAGTGCGATTATTTTTCTCCTTTATTGGATAGATCTGTATGAAATGGATATATAGCAAATTTGATTTAGCTGAGCCCTTTTAAGTACCCATACACCTATGAGCATACATTATTAGGTCTAATTTAACTCCTTTCTCCCCTAAATTCTAAAAAAAGATACATCTTCATCTCTCAAGGTTCTAGATCCAGAATCAGGACACATCTGGAATGGTTACTCAAGAATCTGGAGGAAACTAGAATAATTCCTACATTCTCCTCCTTCTCTTTCTGTTCATCCAGTAAATCTTTCTTAGTATTCAAGGTTCTGATCAAATTTCATAAAATCTAAGATATATTTGTCATTGACTCCAGTAAAAAGAAAAAAAAATGAATGAAACAAATATCTTTTGGCAACTGCATTATTTTGACACTACTTTTAACATGTCAGCTTAAAATCCTTTAGAAGCTTTAATGATTTTTTAATGTTTTTAAAAAAATATCCTGCAAGTCTAGGCTTCCCAACTAGAGTACAAATAATAAATACTCAGTCATGTTATCTGATAAATATTTTGATTCTATGTGCACAGCTGAAATTTCATAACCGCAAAATATGAGAGTGAATAAATCAACAATATGACTCATATGCCTTTTACTATGCAGTTAAAAGAGAACTGGACTTTAACTGAAGCAATATGATCTTGTCCTTGCTCCAAATCATCTATGATAAAGGTAACTGTCCCTCCTCCCTGAAGTTGGTGTTATATCCTTAGTGAGAGCAATTGCTTATTTCTCCTCTTTTTCATGCACAGATCACAGTACCTTTTTGGTGTTTTCATTATGCAGTCTCTGGAATTGCTCAGGAGAACAAAGCTTGAGGGTATTAGTTGATTCTACTGGCTCAACTGCTCCGGCCTTAGTTTCTGAATAAGCTGTAGGATGCATTACATTATATAAATTTTCATTTCTGCCTCGTTGACCCTATTTATCACCTGATAAATTTGAGAGAGTGGTAAATCCTAAGACGAATTTTAAATAACTAAAGACTATACTCACATCTAACCACAGGTATATGGAGATGTATTGTGACTGGGGAAGAAGAAAGAAGTTTTTGATAGAGAAAACTGATCCATTAAAAAATGCAAGAACAGATTCTCATAATTCTGAGGGAAATACCTCCAAGTTTTCAAGTCAAATTTGGCCTTTTCACATTCTGCAAAAACAATGATTTTTCCAGTGGTTTTACTTTATGGTTTTTACTCATTCACGTAGACTTCTGTGGTCTCTGAGCAAGAACATTATAAGTAAATATTTATCAGTGTGCTTTCCAATGGATATACAATGTGAATTGCATGTGCAATTTAAACTTTTGTACTATCTGTATTAACAAAGTAAAAATAAACAGGAAAAATTAATTTTAATAGTATGTTTTCTATTTCCAAAATAGTGTGTAGTATGTTCAAAAAATTATCATTTCAACCTTTGTAACTGGATGCAATTCAATGTCACATGTGGCTAGTGGCTACCATATTGAATAGTATAATATCCCATATTGGACAAGTAGTTTGAACTCTGGAAGATCAAGTCTGTCACTGGTGACTTGTGTCTCAGAACTTTTGAACTCTAGCAATTCTCTTTATTCAATATGGGTAAAATGCTTTCACAAAGTTATGAAATTTGGGACATTTTAAAGGGGTTTCCTTAGTCATAGTTGTAATTAACAGAAATGTGTAAGCATTGAAAAAGTCTAAATTTTGGCACTTACATAATAATCATAACTAACATTTGTCACATGCTTATCTTTCATTTGTTTATGCCTCTTACATTAATTAGTTGTTTGCTGTGTGTCAAGAACTCTACTTATTGCTGTTACTCATTGAAAAAGAAATCAGGTATGACCTAGTGGGAAAAACTTGATAGACATAGTCTTGTCTACTGAGATGGAAGAGGAATAGAAATGGAACAGATTTAATTAGGGGAGCAAGTCTTTAATTTAAAATATGTTACTTCTATGAAATCAATGGAACATTTGAGCAGAAATGTTGAATATGCAGTTAGAGCTAAATGAGTTTGGAGCTTCTGGAGAAAATTTTGGACAAGAGCTAATATTTTGGGAATTATCATGTGTCTGTCAGTAGATGTTCCTAGCCTTACAAAGTCATATAAAGAAGTAGTATATTATCCCATCTAACAGATACTAAGCCTGATAACTGAAGAGGTGGAAAAACTTATACAAAATTACCTAATTTACAAGGTGACAGAATCTTATTGTAGATTTTGCTTTCTATAATGTTTCTAATAGTGAACTATTTCTATGAACAGCCTAAACATAAGGATAGCTTTTTAGCGATTTAGAAACTGGATCTCACCAGAGAAAAGGCAAAGTGGCCTATGAAAAGACAATGATTGCTTTTGTGAAAACTACATTCATGATGAAATGATAGGAGGATCATAGAGATTCTGCATGGGCCCAAGGTTTGAAAAATTCCGGAAATTTTGAGATAGCTTTTGTCAATGATTCCAGTCTTACCTTCTGTATCATTGGCCTTTTTGACCGCCTTAAGTAAACTCTGGATAACCGAGGGAACTGCCTCTTGGGGCTTCTGTCGTATGAAGTCCCCCACAATCCAGGCCTTGTCTCTAGGTGTGGCATTATTAAATTTTTTCTTTTCATCTTCTGGTAATTTAATCACATCTTTTTTCACCAAATTGTCCAAAAAACCAGTGATGGCTTTTTTGCTCTCAATTTCCAACCTCTTAAGTCGTTCTATTTCTTGTTTTTTTTCTGTCAGAAATAGAAAAAAATCCTTCAACTGTAGGCTAGGCTTTAAGAGTTTTACTCTCACCTTAGACACAGCCTTAACATAAAATATCCTTGAAAATGCAATCACCATCTCCAAAACAAACTGCTCACCTCTTCATTGTACCCATGGACATGTCACATCTCCTTGAATTTGGAACAAACTATAGTGATTCCTTGTTACCTAAGTGTTTGGTCTTTCTTTCTTTCTTTTTTCTTTTTTTCTTTCTTCTTTTCTTTTTTTTTTTTTTGGTTTGTTTGTTTTTTAAAGAGTTTCTTTTCTCCCAAATGTGGCATTGGGCCAAATGTTACGTCATCCACTGTTCTCATATTCTTGTTCTTTTACTTACAGCCTAGGGTAGTGATGATGCTCCTCCTGGGATATGTGATCTAGGAAACTCCATGCCTTTGTCTAGCAATTAATTCCTCCCACTAGAGCATGGGCTTTTCCCGCTCCTCTGTTTTGAGTGTCTTTGGTCAAGTGCTATCTTGGAATGCACATCATTTTATACAGTTGCTATACTCACACCTCAGAGCCTAAAAATATTGTAAAAGACCTCATATGCTTACTGAATATATAAATTAATGAACAAATAAAGGAATGCCCTTAAAGTTCTAATCCTTTAAAATTTTATTCTCAACCAAAAATCAGAATTAAATCTATGATGACAAACCTTCCATTATGGTAAATTATTTGTCACTGGGTTACTGTATCACTACTTCTTAGGACAATTTAAAATTTTATAGAGGAAAAGGATACAGATATCAAAGTATTAAATTAATCCTTTATTTTAATATTATCAATGGAAATTGGGAAGTTTGTAAATAGGAAGGCAGGATACCTAATAAGTTCTCAGTTAACTTTATAAATATAGTTATTCAATCTTTCTAGATGTCAGGATGACTTTGACACAAAATGACATTATTTAAAGAAAATATCAAGACATTGAACAAGAACTTTGGCCTAGAAGCACCAGCCACATCATTCATACTATCTTGACTTATATTTTCAGCAAATGTTTATTGAGTAATTATTATGTGAAAGGCATATGGAAGCTGAAAACCATAAAAAAGTTTCCTAATATCAATTAATTTAATGAAAAATGAAATCTTATGCACTAGTTATGACTAGTTATGAAAATAATACATAGCAAACCAACATATATCAGCATTATTTCTAAGTCATCACATTAGGTTGTTTACAAATATCAATTAAAACCAGGATTCTCACACTAAACTAATGGATTAGTTATCACATCCCTTTTTTAAATAATGAAGTGACAAATAAATTATAAAATATATAGAATTTAAGTAATGACTTTACACTAAGTACATAAATTGGTGTTCAAATTACATTCTTATTCTGTGTTCTGTGTAGTTAAATATCACACAGTTACAGCAACAATAGTCAAAATTTATTAAGCACACATCATGCCAAGTGCTTGACATAAATCTCACTAAAATATAATAAAAACTATCTCAAAGGTATATTAATATATTGTATCTCATACACAGAGTCATGTAATAAGAATATAGGGTAACTAGTAACTGAGAAGCAAGAATTAAAACCAAGGGTTTTAGAATTTAGAGGCTCTAGTCTTGAATTATCAAGTGACATTACATGAACTTGGTGAAAATTCCCTTAGGGAAAAACAAATGAATCACTTCAGAGACTCAGAAAAGATGCATAAATTCTAGCTGGTGAGATTATTGAGGCTCCATAGAAGAGGTGGCAGAAAAACACTGGTCTTGAAATACAGAACATGAGTGTTGTAGAGTTTTTGAAGAGTTGAAAACAGTACTTAGGTTAGTGTGTGCAGTATCCACCCTGCCTGAGGTCTGGGCTTCTGTTTTGTTTATTTGTGTGTGCAAGAAATAGTGAAGTATTGACTAAATGAATGATATGTAAAGTAACATGGTAAGCAATAAGAGATTTACAAAAGAATAAGGTCCTGAATAAAAGTTGTCAACATCATATTCAATAATCAAAAGTTGAAGTTTTTTAATAAAATTGGGAAAAGGGAAAATATGCTACCCTTGCTACTTTTATTCAACATAGTACTGGAAGTCCTAACAGGAGCAACTGGGCAAGAGAAAAAAATAAAAGGCATACATACTAGAAAGGAAGAAGTTAAAATGCCCCTGTCTGTAGACACATGATTTTATAGACAGAAAATCCTAAACAGTCCACCATAAATCTATTAGAACAAATAAGTAAATTCAGCAAAGTTTCAGTATGCAAAATCAACACACAAAAATGAGTAACCTTTCTGGCCACTTACAACAAAATATCTGAAAAATAAGTTAAGAAGGTAGTTTTACTTAAAATAGCTGCAAAAATAAATTTAAACAAGGAGGTGGAAACATATGCACTGAAAACTATAAATCCCTGATGAAAGAAATAGAATAAGACATGTAAATAGAATTATATACTGTGTTCATGAGTTGGAAGAATTAATATTGTTATAATGTTCATAATATCTAATGTAATCTAAATATTCAATGCAATGCCTTTAAAAGTTGCAATGACATTTTTATAAAAATAGAAAAAAACATCCTAAAATTCAAGTGAACCCCCCCCCCACACACACACACACAAATAGCAAAGACACTCTTAAGAAAATAAAGTTGAAGTCAATGTCTTTATTTTAAAATAGACCACAAAACTTGAGTAATCGAAACAGCATGGTACTGACATTAAAACAAAGACATGGACCAATGAACCAGATAGAAAGCATAGAAATAAACCCAAGTACTTACAGTCATTTGATTTTCAACTTAAGTGCCAAGAACACAGAGAGGGGAAAAGGTACTCTCTTCAATAAAAGGTTTTGGGGAAAACTGGATAGCCATATACAGAATAAAATTAGATCCTTATTTTATGCCATATACAAAAATTAACTCAAAAAGAAGTTAAAGATCTACACTTAAAACCAGAAATTGTAAAACTTCTAGAAGACAGAAAGAAAGTTCCATTGCTTTGGTCTGGGCAATGATGGATATGACCCTAGAAGCACAGGTAACAAAAGTGTGTGTGTGTGTGTATGTGTGTGTGTGTATATATATATATATATATGATTACATCAAACTAGAAAGCTTTTCTCTTTATAGAGAAAGGGAAACAACAGAGTGAAGACATGACCTACAGAATGAGAGAAAATATTTGCAAATGGTACATCTGGTCAGGGGTTCATATCCAAAATATGTCAAAAAAAAATAATAACAACAAGAAAAACCTTCAAATCACATAAAACCAAGACAAAAAAATGATTTTTAAATGGATGAAGGACTTGAATAGAAAGTTGTCAAAAATGGACACACAAATTACCCACAGGTATTTGAAAAAGTGTTCAACATCTGTAATCATCAGGGAAATGCAAGTTAAAGCCTCTATGAGACATCACTTCAATATCTAATCAAATGGCACTATCAAAAAGATACAAATTCGATGTTGCAGAAAATATGTAGAAAAGGAACCCCTTGGACACTGTTGATGGGAATGTAAAATTAATATAATCACTACGGAACAGAATATGGGGTTTCCTGAAAAATACTAAGTAGAACTACTGTATGATATAACAAGTCTACTGCTGGGAATATATTCAAAACATATGAAATTAGTTTGTTGAATGTTTTTGCACTTATAATATTTATTGCAGCAGTAGTCACAACAGCCAAGAAATGGAATCAATGTCAATATCTGTGGACAGAAAAACAGGTAAGAAAAATGAGGTATCTATACACAATGGAATACTATTCAGTCATTAACAAAGGAAATTCTGTCATTTGTGAAAACATGGACAAAATTGAAAGATATTATGTAAAGTGAAATGAAATAGGCCAGGCACAGAAAGCTAAATTCCACATGATCTCACTTATACACAGAATCTAAAAAAGCAAAACTCATAGAAATGGAGACTAGAAAGTGCTTACAAGAAGGAAATTAGTTTGGAAGATATTAGTCAAAGGAATCCAAATTACAATTATGTAAGAGAAACAAGCTCTAGAGATCTATTGGGCAACATGATGATTATAGTTAATAGTGATGTACTGTATCATTTAAATTTTTTCACAGAGTAAATTTAAAGTGTCCTCACACAAAATCTGATAAACATAGGAGTCAATACATATGTTGTTTATCTCTGTTTAGGCATTCTACAGTGTACATGTATTTTGAAACATAATAAGCATATTTAATTTTATTTTGCCAGTTAAAATAAATAAATACATAAATTACAATTAACAAGATAAAGAGGTTTGGATTATTTATTTTATAATTTACATAATCTTATTGAACCAATTGTAGATTTTAAAGAGTAGATTAATGGCTCTCACATGTGTAGAGTCAGCCTAGACATGGAACCCGGGACTGAGTACCAGTTGTCTGAGAGTCAATGTGATATATCTTCTCCATATCCCACAAACTCATTAAATTAACTTTTAAAAGTAAACTCACTTTAATTCCCTTCTTTCATTTCCTTACTACTAAATAATATCTAACTTCCAGTATATGAAATTAGCGAAACCTGGTGCTGTACACATCTTTTACCTTATTTATAGCTTATTTTCTATCACTGTTCATATACTGATTTCATCTGCTAAATATGTGCAAAATTCTAACTGTTCAGTTCTCCTCTTCAGACCAACATCTTTCTCTTCTTAATTACCCCCAAGAGCCTTTATATACTTTTTATCCCCTTCTTATCTATTTTTCACAAGGAAGCAGAGTGAGTATTCCACTGTTAAGAGATCATCAAACCTCTCAATTTAACCTAATTTAGGTGTCATCATTCAGCCTCATCTTCTGATCCTGTCTTCACCTTGCTCACTACATTTGAAATATTCTGCCCTTCTTTTTTTTTTCTAGAAAACCTCTGCTGCTGGATCCCTTCATTTTCAATCCCCTACCCCTTCATTTCTTCCTGTCTTCCCATCATCTCTTTTTATCCTCCATATCTCAGATGTGACAGCACTTTCTTAGGGGAATGCTCCTTGATGCTTCCTAGACAAAAATGTCAAATGTATGTGATCCTAGGGTGGCTTGTTTCTCCCAAAGATAGCATTATTTTCCATATGAGTGTGGTTCCAAACCTACTTATTGCCATCCCACCATCATATTCCATGCTTGCTCCGTGAGTACAGGTTCTGTGAGATAGGTCTACACTATTGGCATTCAGAGAGCATAAGTAATTTTCTACTGAATCACTGATCACTGAATGTAGTAAAAAATACAGAATTTAGCCATGACCTGACTTAGAGAATATTTAACAGCAAGCTAAGTAAATTTGATACATTTGACAGGTAATAAGAGCACACTGGAAATTTTCAAGTGATGGTAGTTACATTTATTCTTCTACTCATTCAGGGATATGGAATGGGTGTCTACCTATAAATACATTCTGCTAAGGTTAGAGATACCATTTTGGAAAGATATTCTTACATATCAAGGCTTACATCAAAATGGAGAGATGGATGTGCAAGTAAGTAAATACAAACACTAATAATTTAAGTAACGGGCGTATGAATAAAAAAAGCAGAGTGTGGGAGGGGACTGTAACCCATGGTAGAGGACAGCTGCCCAGAGGAGTAAGGGCTTGGAACTGAGACCTGAAAGTGGAAAGCTACACCTTTGAGAACCTGGGAGCTTGTCTTCTGGCAGGGAACAAGGTGGGCAGAAACAGAAAGGCTCAAGAGATCTGATGTAATCTGGAAGCTGGGAGAGCTGCGCATTAGAAGGAATACTACGGTAAGCAGAAATGTACAGCAAAAACTGAAATGGGAGAATTCAGATGCAAGCAGCAATTTAGGGACTTTTGCAGAAAACTAAGGTAATGTCAGTATCTCAGGATCTTCATTTTGAGAATCAGATCTACCTAGGATCACACTGCTCAGTAAACATTTGACCTAAGGCAAATTATGTAACTCATCTCTAAGTATCTTCTTCAGCTACAAAATGGCAATAATATAGATCTAATTACATAGTTTTAAATCTTTAATTAAAAAGCATAAAATAGCTACCATATAGATTGTTTCCAAAAAATCAGTTGTTATTTATTATTGTGGTAGTAATTGCCAAATTACTTATAGTAATTATAAAAATGGAGGAAATAATTTAGAAGACAAAATTAATCAAGACCACAATTTTGGTCCTGATTCCTCAGGAATTTTAGTTAACAATGGCCAAAAAAACTATATGGTTTCTATTTATTGAGCCATTTCATATGCTTTTTTTCCTAGTGCATTTCAATTTCTCATATCTTTTATCTAATGATGCCCTGATTCCAATCCAATAACCAGTGTATTAGACTTGCCTGGCCAAAGTCACAGCCATGGGCATGAATTTAACTTATTCCTTTCTAGAAAATTCCTTATTAAAGTAAGAAGATGACAAGGAAAGAAAATAATCAATCCTTATATTTTGGATCTTAATTTAATTTTTTTCAGATAAGACACAAGGTCTGGAAAGAATTATCCTACAGAGAGATTCAAAAAAGTAAAGAAACAACAGCAAGAATTTGTAAGTGTAGTGAATGCAGTATATACATTATGTTTATATGCAGGAAGCTGAAATCATGCCTGAAGGGGATTAATGAAATTATGATTAACTTAATTGAGAAGGTGGAAAACTTGTCTAAAAAGTTCAGATAGATTTTAAAAGGCAATAGGAGCCAGTGTGTGTTCCTGAGTTGGAAAATTGCAGAAATACGTACCTAGAATGTAAGAACTAAGCATTAACTAACTGATCATCTTTGCCAAAAGTGCAAATCTGCAGATAAACTTACACAAAACCAGCTACATGAGAATTATGTAGATCTCTGAAAGATTATATGTGCCTATAGTTTATTTAAGAATGAACTATGTGACTGGGCATGGTGGTACATGCCTATACTCCCAGCAATTTAGGAGGCTGAGGCAGGAGGATTGCAAGTTCAAAGCCAGACTCAGCAATTATCGAGGCCCTAAGCAACTTAATGAGAACTTGTCTCAAAATTAAAAACAAACAAACAAACACAAAGTACTGGGGATGTGGCTCAGTGATTAAGTGCTACTGGGTTCAATTCCTGGTTAAAAAAAAAAAAAAAGAATGAGCTATGCAGGGTGAGGGTAATGGGGTAACATGAGAAAAATGACAAAACATTGTCCTTTAGGCTGGCATCTATGACGTGTCTCATGTTTTTCTCTTTTTTCTTTTCTTTGTCCATGGTCCCCAAACCTTCTCTTAGTCCATTTTTCTCCTCTGATTTCTCAGCATTTCTATCTCTGTTCATTGAAAGCACAAATCCTGAATTTTTAAAATGACTGTAGATTATTAAGATTTATCAGGTCTAATACCTAAATATTAGAAATGTAGATATAAAGTTTAGAAACTGCTGATCTAGTCCAACCTCTTCATTTTCAAATGAGGAGAATAAAGCCAAAGAAGTGATATGATGTGATTGAATACTAGCTGCCTCAATACCTAATGACTCCTGACTTAAGCCTTTCCTTTCTGGGTATGATACAGGCAACCTGGAAATCATGTGCAGGATGGACTGATTGGAGGGTAAGTCCTGGAGACAGGGACACTAGCTGAAAAAACTGTGATAGAAATCCAAGACATCCAGAGTTTTCAGTACAAGAACCAGAAAAATGGAGCCACTTTAAACTGAACAAGGATATAATTCAACATAAGAAACAGTAAAGGGGCAGGAACTGAAAGCCTCTTAGATCTGTTTCTGGAAAGACTGTTTATGAACTGATGATTAATGCAAAGTCTACAGGAAGCAGAAAAAAAATCAGAGTGCATTTACAAACTTTGAGAATTGTCCAACTCTCAAGCCTTACTCTGTCTTTACCTCCCCCTTGATCATCAGAAACTGAAGGAGAGGAATAAACTTCTGTCTGACTCAAAGATACCTGGAGACCACACTCAGTGTCTCTAAATCCACATCTTGAGTCCAGTGGCACACAAGTGATAAGGGGAAGAACCCAGCTTGTACCCAGCTGGTCTGCTTCCTTTCTGTTACTTCTGCCTGTCACAGAGCAATGAATATAGTGTTTTCTAAGATCCAAGTCCCTAGGTCCTAGTCAGGAGGGTACCCCACTCACCAGCCATGGAGGACAGCCTTGGTCCCTTCCTTCTCCAGTGGAGAGAGCACCAGACTAGAAAACGAAAGAAAGTCACCCAGTGTTTCTTTAGTTTAGAGGGCGGGACATCTATTTATTGATTTCGAAACTGCTGCTCGGAATTCTTGTTTCCTTGTCGGGAAGTCCCCTGTAGTTTCCAAAATAGCCTCATAGTTTTGAACTACAATCTTAGTCCTGAACTCTAGTTCTTTTCTTTGGAAAGGAGAAAAATAAAGTGGACATGACAAAACATCATCCTATAAGTTGACAGCTGCGTTGTGTTTTCTTTGTTTTTCTTTTCTCTGTGCACAGCCCCCACACCTGCTCTCAGTCCTTCCTTCTCTGCTCTCAGTATTTCTACCTCTGCTCACTAAAAGCACACATCCTGAAGGATTTACACCTAACTAATGTCCTTTCATTTCCAGATATCATTAACCATGTTGCTTCTGTTTCCTCTTTAGACTGTGTTACTCATGACAGTATCTTCCTCTCTCTGTCTCCCTGTTTTTTCAATCTTTACTGGAAATTGTTCTGAAGTAACCCTTTTCTTCTCTCCCCAATATGCTTTTCTTGAACTGCCTAACACTGCCCTGACATTTAATTTTTATTGAGGGTAGCTGTTCTCTGCTTTTTGAAATCTTCTGTCCAAAGGCAGAAGAGGTCTCAGGCTGGAGAAGGAACACCTGAATGTACTAGACAGGTCTGTCTGAAGGAACAATTAATGACAACAAGGGAAAGGGCTGGGAGGTATTCAACTTTGAAGGTTTTTCAAAAGGTCAAAATTTACCTTTACTCTAAGGAGTTTATAATTAGAAAGGGCTCCTTCTTCCACATAGAAGTTATGTTTTTCCAGCCCTTCCCAAACTGAACATTACTGAGTGAATGATTCACTTGAAGTTCATTTTCACAGGACCATAAAGAGAAATCATACCCTAATGTTTGTTCATAGTGTCATATATGTCTCCTGCTTGTTTCATGTCTGTTGACTGTTTTATCTTCTCAAGGAGACTGTAGCTTACTAGGGACCTAAGGTTAAATAAAAATGTACTTTGTGTCTCAAATTTCTTAACAAAGAATAGAAATAAGTAGTTTTGATAATAAGTCTGTCAACAGTGTATCCATCAGATTTTGGGATAAGTTGCTTTACTGCTGCTGTCATAACTCTCTGTCTTCTGTGTGCCTCTCCTGATCAACTCTAGATTTTTTGAAGTTAGGTACCCATTGTTACTTTACCTACTTTGTATCTTCATCACTAATGCAGAAAGCCAAGCAAATATATATTATAAGAAAGAATGGTGCTATTAGCCAGTGTAGCTGTTGTAGGTCAAATCAAGACAAGAAATCTGATACCTGCTCTAAGTTCCACCTCCTGTCTTTCCAGCATAGAAAAATCAAAACAAAAGCAGGACAAACTTTTTTTTTCTCTCAGATTTATTAGCTTGTTTAAAGAAATGTTTATTTTTAATAGACATGACTCCAAAAACAGGTACAGAAAGACAAAACTGGCTTCCTAGGGAAAAGAAAATAACACAAGTATAAGAAAGTGTTCTGCTAAATACCATGCAAGTTATGATGTCACTCTACTCATGAGTCCTCACTTACCAAAGGATAGTGCCCAGATGCTATGCTTAAATACTGTGCTTAAATATTATGTCATATGGAGGTGAAGAAAGCACATCCAAAAGTGAGCTTTTGTAATCATATGACTACCTTTTGATTGATAGCAGCTGACCCTGAGAAAGGACTATCTGACTCTGTAGAACCTTCCTGAACGGAAAAAGAAAAGACCTCCCTTTGGTGTCTCCCCATTTATTAAACCAGACCTAGAAGCCTGGGCTAGCATGGGACTTCAGAATCCCCCCCCCAACACGCATATGCACAAACATAAACAGATAATGTTACAGCTTACTTATTTTAATGTCCTGGGAAGAGGTAGAAACATCTTGTCAAAGTCACCCTTTCAGTGGTGGGCATCTGTGCCCTACCATCTGGTAGCTCAAATGAAAATCGAACCTAAAAGAAAAGGGAAATTCTGTAGACTTTTTTTTTTCCTTAGTGGAGAATCTTGAATTAAGCTGGAAAAACTGCAATGGAAAAACTGTAAGATAAATGATATAAACAAAAAAAAATAGCAAATTAGAGTTTATTGACTTTATCTACTCAGAGTGGAATGAAAGTTAAAATACATGATTGTTTTATAGGGATTATGGACCATAACAGATTAGATCTGGCTTTCAGGTATACCCACATACCAAAGAACCTCATAGAGTTTCTTTGGGGAAAAAAAATGGAATTATTGGAAGATAAACATGTCCAGAGATTCCATGTGGAATAGCCAACTCCAGGGACTAGAGTGGAAGAAGCAACTGGAGCCCTACCTTTCGAAAAATTTCCTCCAGATCACAGGACCAGGCATATTCTTGAATATTTTTTATGAGTTTCATAATAAAAAGAGAGCCCAGTGTGGGATGCCTCCAAGAAACATTATCTGTTAAAAAAAAAAAATCACATTCCAAATCTCATTACAGGATTTTGGTTAGACATAGAGAAGTAGCTCTAGTATTTCCACTCCCCTTGGGGCATGGTATTGAGTTGGTTCTGTTTTGTTACACACCATTTGCCAATTTTTTAACGTATTTAAAGTTCCTGGTTATATTTTTACCAATACTCAATAAAAAGCTGTATAGAATTCACATAGTGGGACATAATCCCTGATTTTAAGTAGCTGAAAATCTAGCAGAAAGAGAGGAAAAGACAGAATTGAGCAGAGAAGATTGACTGGTTCTTGAAGATTGAGTGTGCATTTCAGGGGTGCTACTTAATGACTCTGATTTAAGTTATTCACTTTGAAATGCACAGCCTCAACTATAAAGTGGAGCATAATAATTTCTGATACAAAGAGATATTTGAGGAATAGATGATATGGCACGTCACGAATGTCTGAGAGGTTATAGGATATATAATGGAAAATAACAGAATGAAAACAGTACCAGCACAATGAAAATACAAACTAGAATGGGTTCAAGAGGGAAAAGTCACATCCTGTGGGATGACAAAAGGTCTTTCAGGGTTAAGAATTTCTAAAGAGGAACAACATTAAATGTGTAACAGGAGACACAGAGAAGTAATGGAGAGATACAAAAAATTACTCAAAGGAATGCATGCATAAGAGAAAAAGCCGCAGTAGCAAGTATGCATAAAATTGTGGCTATATTCTCTGACCAAATTCTTTAGCCAATATTCATGATAAAATGCACATTAATAGTTAAAATTCTATTTAAAAGCACAACTGATTTATCTTGTTCTCTCCAGTTAAAGAAAATGGATAGGAGAGGGTCGAGGCAGGTATTACTGCCAAGTCCTTTATAAAATTAAGGAAGTGGATGGACAATTTTCTTCAGGAAAACATCACAATGTGTTGGGATTTATGCTGGGGAACATGGAACTAGGTTCTGTAGTTAAGCTGAAGATAACCGAATGGGAGTTTTCGGGAGTCATCTGGAAAAGAGGAGTGAGAGAAGCAAATAAAAGAAGGAGACAGAAATCAACAAAAAGGTGTCAAGAAGCCCAGAGCCTGCAAAGAATTATATTATTACCAGAGGTAAATTTCTTATGGAAGGCTGGGATCAAAGGATTTCAGAGGACTACTACATATAATACTGAAATATCCTTATTACTTAAGCTAAACATGTATGGGATTTTTGCATGGCATTATTGTTTTGATTAAAAAAAATAACTGAGTTCCATATCAAGACATGGTTAGCACAATACAGAACCAGCTATCTCCAGAGGGATGGCATCTCATTACAGAAAATAATCTGTAAACTAAGCTCTTTGAGCAGAAGCAGGACCTTAGGATCAGAGGTGACTAAGGGAATGTAAGTCCCAGAAAGTTGCAAAATTCAGTAATTAAATGAACTCAATGACTCAATGATTTCTATTTAATCCTTAATAAAAGAATGCATATGAGTTACATTATAGAAGAAACATCCTTAATAACAAGTCATTTAATGTGTTTTACTCTGTGGCATTCTCAATATTTCACATATAATATCTTTTTTAATCTTTAGAACAGTGATATTATATTTACATGTATAGGTAAGGAATTAAAAGGAACCCCAGAGAAACTAAATAAATAGACCTAATTTACCAAGTACTAAATAGAAGGGTTAGAATATAGTCACAATACTATTCCACAGCTTACACTTGGAATCATTTGATATGTTCTGTTTTATACACTGCTTACTTCTAGTTAAAACTCAGTCTAGTTTAGGGTCCAATTATGCTTTGTCTACCTTTTTGTCCCCATTATTTTTCTATAAATATATAATGTCTAGGCAGTTAGACTCTTGATAGTGCCAACACTGTGGACCTTTTTCTATGTGAAGTTGGATTTCAATTTTACTTCAGTGTAAATATACTTTTACTTAATTTTCTGTTATCCCTCACAATTTCAGGAAGAAATATGTTTCCATGGAAGGATTTACTTATTATCACTTCAGTGAAATATATATATATATATTCATTTTGTCTCTTTGGTGAGGGAAACTGAAAGTGTTACTGCATGAAACCTAAAACTGGTCTTCAAAATCCTTGTCTAAAGTTAAATACAGGTAACTATCCTCTGACAGGTGACTGAATTCTTTATTAGTCACCACCCCACTGAAGGTATCCTGCACATAAACCCATTACCTGGTGTTGAAGAGCAGAAAGCAATAAAATCCTTCTCTACATGGGCTTTCTTAATTCCATCATCTTCAAGGTCTTCTGAATCCAGTAAGAATTTGCCTTCAGTGTCTCCTGCTGAATCTTTTAACCACACCACCCCTTGATTCTCTGGAAAGACAAAGTTTAGCTAGCTGCTTATTACCAACTGCCAAGAGAACTACCTCCTCTAAACCCCTGTTGAACCATACTTATTCACTTATTTTTTATTCACATACACATACATGCATTCATCTCAAGAGCTACCTTTCCAATAATTCTTTCTTTTTTTCAATTCATGCATTATTATTATACACAATAGTGGAATTTATTGTGACATATTCCCATGTAAGATCTTCTCAATAATTCTTATCTAACAAAATGCTGAAACTAACAACATCCAAGCATTAAAATCTCAAAACTAAAAGTGATTTATCCTTAATTGAAAATGGAACAGGTAACTACCAACCAGAAACATAATTCACAGAAGTCACTCTCATTGATTGGGAACAACAGGTGTTCTTTGATATTAGGAACAGACACAAAGACATTGGATGTATGAAGCTGTACACAGGTCAGTGTTGGATGACTCCTGTCCTAGGAGACATCAGGACTCACCACCACGGCAGGCCTGGATGATGATCACCTTGGGTTTGTCCTTCAAACTTGGACAGTTCCAGGTGTTCAGCATTTGAAAGATGGTGTTGACTTCTAACACATCTGAGACTTTCTCAGAATATTTCGTGCCACAAATCCCATCCCGGATACCATGAGACATGAACACCAGAAAAGTACTGTCAGAGGTCTGGTGTTCTGGGCGGGCAGCAAATGCCTTCAGCTCTGTAGCCATGTCCTGAAAGAAACCACTGAATTTTAATCCATGTGATTTACTACCATTGTCCTTTGGGGATCTAATGCAGAGATACTTAAGGAATTCATTGAGGAATTCTATGAAAATAAATGACGTGGAAAATAAAATTCATGTCTCAATTCTCTGATAAAGTAAAGAAAGAAATGCTTATAGGAAGTCACTAAGATTTCTAGTAGAAACATAGGAGCACGGTTTAGGTGGAACACTTTCCATTTAAAATTTACACCAGGGTCTTGCTAAAGGACTCCTACGTTGGAAGAAGCTATGTAATATCAAGCACCCTCCAAGGAAAAATTGAGATTATACACTGCCAAGAGACAAAGTGTCCTGGTACTAAAGCATGCTTGCTAGCATTATTTAGGAGTATGAAGTATAAGACTATTGATTTTATAGTTTAGAAGCCTTACTGAAGCAGTGATATTTTCTTTCACATCCACTCTGTATCCTAGATTTTCCAGCAGCATTTTCATATCTCTGATATCAACATCAGCTCCAGCCCTCCTGGGAAGACTGTCAAACTCTGTATTGCAGATAATGAGGGCAAGACGAGTGCGGGTCATCCTAGCCATTATTGGATAAATCTGTAAGAAAGGAGATTGGATGAATAGTTTTGTTCTCTTTAATTCAATATTCAACCTGTATGTTTAAAATAGCCTCCCATGCCCTAATCCTATTGAGAAAACAAATCCCATGAATTCCAGATTAAGAATAGGGAAGGCAACTGAATCTTAATTTGGGAGTTTGCAAATGACTAAAAGGCAGCTCAGCATCTTACTCTAAATTTGATATGAGATTTTGAAACATACAAAGGTTTTAATGCCAGGATTACTGAATTTCAACACTGACTTGCCCATTTTCTGATTGTGTAACTTTGGAAAAAATTTCTTTAAAATTCCTGCATGTTTCAGCACTCTAAACTGAGTTATTTTGATGGTTAAAAGTATTGTTATATGCAAAGAATTTAGAGCAACGTGTGACTCACAGCCAATACCAGACACTGATGTTATGGATATTATATTATGATTTACACAGGAAATTGATCCAAACTTGGAATTCTATATAAGCCTTGGATTCTAGAGATGGAAATCATCTATTTAAGGGGAGCAGCCCAATTATTCTCCAAAACATCTCAAGGAAATTGTCTCTAAGGAAGAACCACTGCACTTCAGAAGAGTCTCAAGGGTGTCTTTCAGTTCACTCATTTTATTTTCTGAGCACAGCACCTCTGTTGACTTTTCTTTCCAAATCCTTTGCGCTGTTTCTAAGGGGCAAAGCTTGAGGCTCCCTCCTGGGCCTGAGGATGTGAGCTCAACTTGGTGGCTTTTCACCTCTTGAGGAGCTGCAAGAGACAAGAAGCGTTATGAATAATTACATCCCTGATGGTCTCATTTTGAGGAAATATCTCAGAAATTCAATCCTAGGTTAGTCATGAATGTTATGGAGTGAGCTCACTGTTAATGGAACACTTTCCAAGCCAGAGACTTCCAGTACTTTGATATAGGGGTCAGGATCAGCATTATAATAAAAATATTTTGATAAATACATAGAAAGGAAGTTTCTTAAGGCCATGAATGATTAAAAAATACTGAGAAAACAATCAGTATTTTAGAAATATTGAAGGTATAAATTTACTTGAAAGATTTAAAGCCTACAATAAAATTGTGGGGAGTTAGAGGTAGAGGAATTAAGGAACTATATTAAAATGTTTTATAAACTATAGATATTTGCCTATTAATTTATATAACAGGCATGATAGTAGACATCAGGGATATATATATTTTTTTTAAATGAGCCTTTGTTTCATTCTTCAGGATCATTTTCCAATGTGTACAGATGTAAGGTAGAGAGGCAAGATTGAATAGAAGGACTGTAATGAAGAATGATAAATGCTAAAATCAAAATACACACTAAATAGATTCATTTCACTAAGCACTGATCACACAAATATATTAAGAAGGGTTTTCACAGTAGTTGATGTGCAAAAATTCCTGAGGCTTTCATTTGATCACAAATTCAATACCATCCAACAATGTGATGCCCTTGCTAAAAAAATTAATGCAGTCTGTTGTACTTCGGAAGAGAAATGTTACAATGAGAAATCACATTTAATCTCAAAGAGGAACTTAAACTGTTGTATACTCAATAAAGTAAATCAAGGTATCATAATGTGTGTTGACTCCAAGAAAAGGGGCTAAAAAGAATGGATGTTTTGAAAAAAAACACATAGAAATAATTTTTATGTGGGATGAGTGGTCTGTTTCTGCATAAAGAAATCTAGAGAAGAGTAGGAAAAACTAGAAATGTTTGAATTACTTTTTTTTTTAGTAGTGGGATAGTGCATTTGGTTATGGTTAGTATCCCTTCCCATGAAACATCTAAGAAAACATATGTGAGATACTCTCCATTATTTGATTCAGCAGAGCAATGTTTTTACTTATTGAAATACTTGCTTTCCTGGTTTCTAAATTTCTTCCAAATATAAGTTCCTTTCATTTTTAAGAGAAAAGAATCACCTTTGGATTAAATTAGTCTAGAATTGTGAATGGAAAACCATTCTAGCACATAAAATCACTTAAATTTTTTTAAGAGGATGGACTCATGCAAAAGGAAAATTGTCTTTTTGTTTTTAGGTTTATTTATTTTTTTTCTTTTTTTCACCAATGAACAAAAGGGTGCCTGTTGACCATGTCAGGATTCATTAAGGCTGAGACCATTTTCAAGGTACAGCACTGAAATATTTAAGATGTTGCTTGTCCTCTGAGACCTGAGTGTTTTCTGTGCTACCTCTAATATTGTGTAAAATAAAGAGGTTTTACTAATTTTTGTGGCAGAGACTGCACACTCTGAGCATCTACAGAGACCACAAGATGCTCTTCTCTTCCTCATGGTACCCAGCTGGTTCATGTTGCTAATCACTCCAGAAGTTAGGTGTAGCCAAGTGACTGACTGTAATGTGAGCACATTTGATGCGATGCACCTAGGCTGAACCTAGGTGACCTTCCATATTCTTTCCTGTGGCACAAACTTGATGGTTATGGCCACATTATTTTGGCATCGTATGTTACAGATATTTTCTTCCATGGGATGGAAGATATCTAGGTATCTGGGTTAACAGTTGGAAGGGAGTGGCTGCTGATCAATAAATGGCCAATTCAGAATTGTCAGGAATGAAAACAATTTTCTATTATCTATATGAGACATTATAAAATTTTGACTTTATTATTGTATCCTATGTTGTCTTAACTTATACAGGTATGTGTAGTATCTTTTATATTCCTAAAACTTTGGTAACTTTAAAATTTGATGATAGATTCCTAAATACTTATTCATTTGAGATTTATGTACCCATGCAAATTCAATCCAAGCAAAAACATTATTAGTCATGTTCATTATTCTCTAACAGTACAGGATCTGGAACAGAATTAATGTAAGAAATATTTTCCTAATTGACTAGTATCTGATCATAATTATGACATATATTATCTAATGAAATGGTCTTTTAACATTTATTGCCTGCACACTATGAGCCAACCAAGGTTAGATAGAACTATAACTATGAAAAAATAAATAAGTTTTATTTCATCAAGAAGCAAAAAGTCCAAAAGAGTGAAAGAATAAATGTAGTGAGAAAGGAAAAATGTAGTTAGAGTTAATGACTGGAGAATTACTGGGCATATTCAGAATACGGACTTTGAAATACAGCAGTGGAAGTTAAAAAAAAAAAAAAAAAAAAGCAGAAACGGATCCAGATTTGAGAGAGGAATCAATAAAAGTTAGCCACTGCTTGAAAGTTAGAGGTAAGGAAAAAGAAAGAACCAAGGATGAATCTTAGATTTCAGATGTGAACAAATAGTGATGGTGACACAATTAGCAAAGGCAGAATTAACTGGAAGCAGTTCAGGATGGGAGAAGAAGGGGAAGTTCAGCTCTGGCAAAGTTTAGATAAATAAGTCCAGAAAAGATGTGAATAAATATCTTTAATAGGCACTTGAATAGTGAGGTATGGCACACAAGTGGGAAATTAGGATTTGAAGCATAGGTTCGTACATTTTTACTGATAGATAGATAGATACAGAAGTTGCAAGAAATGCTTCTGCTAAAAAAGAGTAGATTAAGAAGAGAAAAAAGCACAGGATAAATCTGTGGGACTCTCGCCCTGGGTTTATGGCATTAAGTCAATGACTAGGAAAATCGGGTTTACAGAATGTTCTTCCTTTGAAAACATGATTACCTGAGAAGGAAAGAAATGTTTCTCGGGAATCTTGCATACTAAAGTAATCTCCAGTTTGTGGACCTGAAGAAAGATAAAGGATATTAAAATTCATAATCTTTGAAGAACTTTGCCCCAGGTGTTGAATACTCCCCATGAAAATTCCTTTCACAGACCTGATTGATAATTAATCCTTTTCAACATGTGACTCACCTGAAACCACACTCATCACTGGGGGGAAAAAGGCCTCTAGGTATAGATGGCTGTATAGTTCCTTAGCATTTGAGGCAGAACATAAGAATGTTTCTAACTGATTCCCTTGATCTTGGCTCTATAGTAAAAGTGGAAATGAGACATCGTTGGCTGTAGAATCAATAATTTTCTTGATGTGTGTATTTCAAGATGTCTCCTGAGGTTAACTCTACTGCATTACATATGAGTGCAAAGTAAAGTTGTCTAAGAGTAGACTATGGTTTTAAAGAAAAATATGATGCTAGACAGTTAACGTTTGAACACTTACTCTTGTTAGGTTTTACCACAGCAGAAAATGGTGAGGTGACCCTTTGTCAAAATCAGGGAAGAACAAACCCTAGTTTCAGTGTGAGAGAAGTTGGTGAATTTCTCAGCAGTCTACTTACATCCTAGGAAGAAGGTTGTCAGAGAAATACTTGGACTCACAGGGTATTTTAGTTTTCTCATAGATATGTTCATCAACCCAGAATCACAGATTTTTATTCAAAATCAATAAAATTTTGTCACAAAATTCTCAAAACTCTTTCAAATGTGTTCCTCACTTAAATTAATAATATCAACTCTTGTGAACTAGTGATATTTCCATAGTCCAGAGAAACTGGAGAAACATGGGTTAGAGCATTTGATAAATTTAGTGAAAGGATATAAATGAAAGTTACAGGAAAATACCCTGCAAACTTGACTCTCAGAATTAGGTTCCCAACCGTATTCTATATTCTGTACTTTATTCTCTATTTTCTTTGTATTCTCCATATTCTGTCACTGTGACGAAAAATAAGAATAAATTTAAAAACAATAATAAGTAATATGGTGATTTTATGGACTGGCCCTTAATTCATTAGCTCATATAGCTCATTAACACATTATTTCAGAAGGATTGAATCATTTCCTAAGTGTAAAAAGTGGTGGAGCCAGGATGTGAACATAAGTCTGTCTTCACTACCAATCCTGGGGCTTTCATCACTAAGCCACTCTTGCTGGCCACTCCAGGTGGCACACAAAGGGTGGCACACATTTACCTGTCTCCCAGGTAAATCAAATCTCCTTGTTAGTATCATTAGCACTAACTACTCTGAGGAGGAAAATGTTGGAAACCTACAATTTAATTATTTGGGTTTTTGTAAAATCAGTCAAACCTACTGATTTGTTCTTACTTCTACCAGAATCCATAGTACTGTCTGTTTGAAGACAAGAGAGCAGCAGATTTTAGATAACAGAATAGTCACAGTGAGTTATGCAAGTAGCTCTGAAATTCAAGAACTATGGGTTGACAGGATAGGAGCAAAGAAGATGACATCTTGGCTATTCTACAATCATTTCCGAACCCTATTGGCATTTACTGGTTGTCTTTAATTGAAGGGATAGAAGAGGACATAAAATGAAAAGGAAATATTAAAAGAAAAATAAGAAATTAATTACACACAGGAAATACATAATGTCAGCTTAGATAGGCAAAGACTTCCCCAAATGCCTAGAAAAAAAGGCATCTGACTCTCAAAGTACTTCTCCTCTGCAGTAGCTTTGGGAAGTGCAACAGAGATCCATGACTGGGTGGCCATTGTGCTAGTAAGGATATTAGGAGAGAAAATTCAAGGACATAATTGAAAGAAAAAATCACTTAAAAATCTTTACTTTGCTACAAACATTCAAATTATTCAGAGTGCTCCACCATTTCCCAGATATATTTTATTCTTCATAGAAAGCAAAAATTTGGAGAAAATGTATATAAAGTATTTATTACAGATCTTAAGCCTTTATGTCATACAAGTACATTAGTGCCTAGAGAGCTCTGGACTTAAAGAAAATGAACAAACAACAAAAAAAATGTGCCTTGCCTACAGACTGGAGCATTTAATATGAAGTTTTTAAGAATGTTCTCAAGAACTTCAACAAATGAGTGAACCACAGACTAAGGATAGAAAATGAACTCCAAGCAGGAAAAGACCAGTAAGGCATGAGAAATAGAAACAAACAGTCTGTTGACATGCAATAGGAGCATGAAGTCAAAGGCAAGGAAGCTGCTTGGAAACAAGCATGACTAATTAAAGAAATCAGATGTTGGGCACAAAGACACTTGGACTATACAAACCTCAGCCTGAGTCATTTACGCTTACCTGAGGAGAGCCCCAGTGTCCCTGCAAGATAGCAGTCATCTTTGCAAATATGAGTGATAAAGATTTGGCACGCCATGGGCCCTTTTTTAATGACAGAATCAGTCAAAGCTCGGGCCTTATCCATAACCGTAGCATTTTCAGCTCTTACTTTCTCCATCTCTTCCTGGTTCAGCACTCTTTTCTCTAATAATTCATCTAGCAAGCCATTTATTGTGCCAGCTTCCACTGACTGGATAAATAGCTTTCTCTTCTCCTTCAGAATTTTGTCTGTTTGAAGCACAGGAATTTCACAAGTCAAGGAAACAGCCTCATTTTCACCATTAATGAAGAATTGTCTAGATTTAATCAATAACACCTCCCTCTCCACACACTTCAATCTTGCCTCTTATTCTATTGCTGTGCTACTTTTCCCCTTCAATATCACCCATATATGCACATAGAGTGGCCTGAAGACTAAGAGCTACTGTCCCTCTCTTAGTACCTGAAAAGCAGAGGTCATCCTTTCATGTCCCATGTTTCCTCAAATCTAAATAATAAAACAATGAGACAATAATAACCCAGTATCTTTGGGGGAAAACAGCTTCTGTTACTCATCCTGTTCTGATTCTGCTCCCTTTGTAAGGCTTAATGGCATTTGAGAATTAAGATTGCAAAATGACAGCAGGATGCCGGTAAAGCACTAGTTCCTTTCTCACTCTTGCCTTTCCTTTCTGACAACTTTGAAAATCTTCTTGTCTTCTTTCCTTCTGTCCCTTCTCCCTCTCCCTCATTTTGCTCACTAAGCATCCATAAAACCTAATGCAAGCTTCCATAGAGCCAGTCTCTTTCAAAATGATTTCTTCCCCAAGACCAGTTGTTTTAAAGGGAAAAAAAAGAAACTCACCAGCCATGTCTTTTCGTTCCTACCCTCGGATGTAATATGAAACTGAAAGCATATTCCACCTTCCTCTTCAGCAGGGTGTGCACACATATTGAGAAATAACCACCATACGTGCATATACATGCTTCTGTAAAGAAGAACACAGATTTCGGAAATTCAGACTTCATTAGGATGTGCATCCTCGAAACTTTTTTTCATTACTACCAGGATTAGCTTAGAGTAGGACAGGACTGAAGCTTGGAGAATAAGGAATGAGAAAGTACTTATACAATTAGACTCACACAATGTACTATCACCCAATCATTAAGTAGTGATATCCAGAAAAGTGATTTATTCTTGGAGGCTTTGAACCACTCTTCCCTTGCCCTACCCTGAAGCTCTTAGGCAAGTCCCATAAGTTATTTGTCCCTGTGAAGCTGTTTTGCTGTTAGGAATGGAAACATTTTTCACTGAAACTGAATCTTGTCTTATCTAATATTCTTCCTTTTCAGATGGCTCTCCTTGGTGTAACACTGTATCATAGTGATGCAGGGGACGGAAGGAAGGCCCAAAGAGATCACTGGTTTTTAAGTACATGTTTAATTGACCATCCCAGAATAAACCCCAATTTATTTTATAAAGCTCATACTTTGAACTAGAATTTGGGATTTAACATTTAAGCATTTTCTTCTTAGTCAAGGTATTAGACTTTCTTATGTGTTTCTCTATATGTAAAATAACTATATTAATGGTACACACTTACACACTTTTGAACATAAATTAGTGAAAATAAACAAATTGTATTGATCATTGCCTGGCACATGATCTGTGGTATGATGCTTTTAATTTTATTTACCATTAGAAGACTCACCAAAATTAATTATTTGCAAATTCTATGACTGTTGATTCTCATATAACTCATTCATTCATGCATCTGGAAAATGTACACAGAACATATACTGCATTCCTGACACTGTTCTAGGTTCTGACGGTTCCATCAAACCTGGCCCTGATTTCCTGCCCCCATGGTCTCATATTCAAGAGAAGAAGAAAACATAGAATCCAATATGCAACTACAATATTGTTAATGTTAGAGTGACGCTAAATGTTAAGGAGAAAAAAATTGGAAAGTGGGTGATGACATATAGAAGACTTTGAAAGTATACACAGAGAAGATAAGGAAGACCCAAAGAGATCACTGTTTTTAAGTACATGTTTCATTGATCATCCCAGAATAAAACCCAAAAATTTAGCCTATTTTTTTATAAATATATTTAATGGGCTAAATACAAAATGCAGCTATTAATCCTTCTTGTATTTCAGTGTGATATAAAAATTCCCAGGAAACTGATGGATGTCTTGCCTCTGCTGTTGTGACAGCCACACTTTTCCTGATTAGATTGGCCACAGTGTATCTGCCATGACACAATTCATGAAAATTGATAGGTATACCATATCTGTAGCCAAGTGTGTCAAGCCAAGAGCCACCAGTGAATCTACCACGTCTACAAATGCTATAGCCCAGCTAGCAGAGAAATCCTACATGCACCATAACCTGAGCCAGAGAGAGACTCACAGACATTGCTTAATCTGATTACCAGCTAAGGAAGATATATGGACCCTCCATTACTGTGCTCACTTGGAACTAAAGCCAATGTGTCCCATGAAACCAATCCTCAAGGACATATATATCTAGGATAAAGTATTTTACTATGAAAGACTCCCTGCAAAATTGGTAAAGGCAACTGGTCTGCCAGATGTACAAATATCAACATAGGGACAAAAGAAGCATGTCAACACAAGGTAAAGTGATGATTTTAAAGAAATATAATAACTCTATAACAAAGGACTTCTCCACTAAAAGCAAAAAAAATAAAGTGTTGAATTGTTTGAAAATGAATTCAAAATTATGATCTTTTTTTTTTTAATTTTTTATTGTTGGTTGTTCAAAACATTACAAATTTCTTGACATATCATATTCCACACTTTGATTCAAGTGGGTTATGAACTCCCACCTTCACCCCATACACAGATTGCAGAATCACATCAGTTACACATCCATTGATTTACATATTGCCATACTAGTGTCTGTTGTGCTCCGCTGCCTTTCCCATCCTCCACCATCCCCCCTCCCCTCCTCTCCCCTCCCCTCCCCTCCTCTCTCTCTACCCCCTCCACTGTAAACAGGGACACTGCTACATCGATGTTCATAGCAGCACAATTCACAATAGCAAGACTGTGGAACCAACCTAGATGCCCTTCAATAGACGAATGGATAAAAAAAATGTGGCATTTATACACAATGGAGTATTGCTCTGCATTAAAAAATGACAAAATCATAGAATTTGCAGGGAAATGGATGGCATTAGAGCATATTATGCTAAGTGAAGCTAGCCAATCCCTAAAAAACAAATGCCAAATTTGATATAAGGAGAGTAACTAAGAACAGAGTAGGGACGAAGAGCATGAGAAGAAGATTAACATTAAACAGGGATGAGAGGTGGGAGGGAAAGGCAGAGAGAAGGGAAATTGCATGGAAATGGAAAATTATGATCTTAAGGATAAAGAGATATAAGAGTACAAACTAATAACTCAATGAAATTGGGAAATTAATTTCATGATCTGAATGAGAAATTCAGCAAAGAGATAGAGATCAGGAATAGTAATAAACAGAAATCTTGAGACTTAAAATTGTGATAAGTAAAATTAAAAAATGCAGGCATGAGACTCAATTTCATTGGTTCTTGCTCTTCTTATTCCTGGAATTAAATCATGAGGTTGTTTGAAATTTTTAATTTTGTTTGATATAAATATTTATTTCTATAAATTTTCCCGATAGTATAGCTTTTTCTGCATAATGATGCCAGCTTTCTGGTATTTCATGTGTTTCTCCTTAATATCAATTGCTGCCTGTGGTAGGTAAAGTTCTTGGGGACAGTAGGCTAAGTTGTAATTCTAAGTGCCTGTAAACTTCCACTTTCACCACTTGAATTATGTTTATCAGATCAGTTATGTTTATTTTCAAACATTTTATAACAGGTATACTAGTTCTTATAATTATTTGATTAGATATTAAGTAAATCCATATAAACCTTATGAGTATAAAAAGAAATTTGTTAAATCTATGAACACTTTGATTGAATACTTGTCTAGATTCATTATGGTAAAGTTTAAAAATGGGTCATTAAATGAGGTATAGGTGACATATTCTAAAAGTTTGGGTGCAGAATCTTAAAATTATGGAATTTTGCACTGTGTTTTGTGATTTTTGATTTTCACTCTATAATAAAGAAAAAGAAATTGGATATTAAGAGTAGAAAATATTTCATTGTATCTTTTTAAAGAATGCATTGTGTTTAAGATACATTATATTTAGCTCATTTGCTATAATAATATCAATTTCTTAAACTAAAAGATCAATATGTATAATGACTGGAGAAGATTTTTTCTTTCTTTTTCTAGACATACTCAAGGCTTCATATCAGGCAAAACTCTGCTAAGAGGAAGAGGTTCTTCCAATGACTAAAATAGAGTTACCTCTACCTATTGAGATTTATAGACGCAATGAAAATAATTTATAGGGATCATGGGTCACTTTTTAGAAAATAGTTTTACATAGATAAAGGCAACTTGAAATATGTAAATGTATCAGTTCAGTGATAAGTTGTATTTAAATGAAGAGTAATGATATTAAAAATCCTCATTTTAAATAATACTCATAGGAATAATGAAGAGCTCTGACATAGAAAGCAGATGATCCACGTACTGGAATTAAGCTTGTGCCATTTTCAGCCCTTAGAATGTCACTTACTGCCTCAATTTATCAATCTCATGTTCATCATCTGTTTTGAATTCATAAGACATTTTGATTCATACAACTTAGAGAACTAATCATTCATAAAAGTTTATTTTTTCTGTGTCTAGTACTTTCACTTCTCTAAAGCTTATCTACATGATCAGTATGAAGTGAAATCTGTTAAATCTATGAACACTTCAATTGAATGTGAGTTCTCACATTTTGGATAGATTTTTTTTACCTATTAGATGTAGATATTGGGCTAGTTATTTAATATCTCCGAGCTTTTCTCTTATTGTATGAGGGAGCCCATAATCATGCTTACATTCTAGAGTGAAATGACAGGTGGAGAGACCTTATGACAGTGCCTTCCATCCATAGCAGACCTGAGCCAGAAAGCAAGGCAGTTTCAAATTGCACTTCTTTCTGAAGTGCATCTACATTTTTCATATGTTTTATTTCATGGCTTGTCACAATGGCTGTGCAAATTAGATAGATTAAATAAGTATTAATTCCATTTATGAATAAGAAGTCTAAGTAAAATGTTGGTTCAAAGATTTGGCTAGGACAAGTTGCAGAATTTGGGTGAAAAGCTGGCTGTCATTCTTACCTGACACTTACCTCTGTGAAAGGGTACTCTTCCACTCGCACCACACTAGGTACTATGGACTGTATAAGCAGAGGTTAGGATTATGCATGTGCACTTATGAAACTGAAGATAATTTGAAGGACATAAAGTATACACATAGATAATAGGTATAATGACAATAGAAGGACATAGACAAAAGCGCTATAAGATATCAGAGGAGGGTCAAATATATATGGCCTGGATCAGACAGAGAATGCTGCTCCAGGATGGAGGGACACAATCTGCAGCTGTCAAAGGGATGGCATCTGGGCCAGTATGAGTGAATAGAGAAGGAAACTAATCTGCTGAGACATTTCTGTGTTCTGAGTACTGAGATGGTTCCTTGGATCATCTCAATTAGTGCTAGAAAATTATTGTCGGTCTTCAATTTTGAAATCAGTAAGTTAACTTTCAGAATGGATATCTCCTTTTCAAGAGCAGAATCCATGAATACAAAATATAATTTGATAGATTTATCCAAAAATCAAGTTTTTTGTTTGTAGTTAATCTGTGAAAGTAGAGATGTGAGACTAGTGCAGTTTAGTGTGAGAGAATGATATAAATGTTTGTAGAGGACAGTCATGAGAGGAAGGGTAAATTAGAAATATAACTTTTCTTAAATCAAAGAGAGCTTGCTTAGGATGAGTG